GCAGTTTTATAATCCTAAGAGGGCTGTGGGTATGGAGATGAGGGACACTGACAGACATGGAGAAGGAGTGATGATGAAGCTTTGAGGCTGCACAAGTGCCAAGCTCTTTGGGGAAGGTCCTTCTTAAAACCAGGAGAGAAAGAAGGGGGAGGAGAAGAGAGAAGGAAAAGGGAAGAGGGAAGAGCTGTAGAAGAAGAAAGAAAAAGAGGAGAAAGAAAGGAGGAAGGAGAGGGGAGAAGAGTAAGGAGGAAAGGAAGAGGGAAGAGGAAAAAGGAAGAAAGGAGAAGATGTGAGGAAGAGGAAGTGGAGAGAGAGGAACGTAGGTTTAATGTGGGGCTGGGATGCTAACCAGTGAAGTCAGGTTTCCTCTGTGGCCTGGGGCCAGCCTCGTTGCCCTTCAGAGGCCCTTCCAGGCTTAATGAGGGGCTGTGGTGCCTGGAGACTGCCCATTACTGAGCTGAGTTTATTTTGAAATCCAAGATAGGAATGGCTGTGTCTCAACCAGATATGTGTTTACACTCCTGGCCAGTGTTGCCAGAAATAGACACTTTGTCATGAGGTCAGAACTGGATCCAGGCTCCAGAGAGTGGCTGGACCCCAGGTCAAACAGGGGAGAAGAACACTTTCCAAGGCCCCTAAGATGTGTGCTGGGCAGGATGGGAGCTCTGGGGGGGGGGGGGAGTGCCCTGGGAACTGTATTGGGGATTTGTGGTTCCATAGTCCCTGGGAGGCCACTAGGTTCAACAATGTGCAACATAGCCACGTCATCAGATGTCATCAGCATTGAGACAAGGAGGGTGATCAGGACTGCGGACCCAGCATAGGCTTTTGGGGAAGTGACATCACTGCTGAGGATTGGAGTGGGGACCACTAAAGGCCTGTGATGAAACAAAGGTTGCTGTAATCAACAACCACAAACCAGAAGGGCTTCAAAGTGCAGAAATCCACCCTGATTCCTCTGAATGCCCTATCAGAGACTTGTACCCTCACCATCTTCCTGGGGTGACTGGAAGCCCTTGGCTTTCAGACTTAACGTAATCCTTGTTCTCTGTGTCTTCTCCCTGTGTGTCTCAGTGTGTCCTCTGTTCATTCTATTGGGACCCTCTGTAACTCAGTGTGCCATCATCTTAATTATAGCAGAGAAGAGCTGTTTCTACATAAGGTCACCTCCACAGGTCCCAGGTGAACTTGAGTTGTAGGGGAGGAACACTGTTTAACCTGACATGTGTGAACAGCGTGGGACTGAGCCTTTGACGTGGGGGTTACCGTCTAGAAATAGACTGAAGGCGTGGGCCAGGGTTGTATTGTGGTACCCCAGGAGGCCATGCTGAAAGTAAAGACAATGTATAAACACCCTCTTTTCCATGGCACAGGGATACGTTGGAAGAGAGTTCTTGCAGAATGGGCCAGGAGTCAAATATGGACCTCTGGATGGCTATTTGAACTTGAAGGGCTTTCAGGTCCTGGCTTCCTCCTCACTGCCACGTCTGAGTGCTCTGATGTCTGATGGGCCCTAGATTTATTCTTTAGCAGCAATAAAGCTGTAGAGATGTGGCCAGAGTAGTGGCAGTGCCTTGTTGGTGTCTGATGGTGTTTGTCTTCTTCCTCCAGTGGACCTGTCCCCAAAGACCGTGAGGCTCTTGCTCTGACTTCAGGGAAACTCTCCTCCACCCCCAGCTTTGCGAGCCTCACCTTCACTCTCTCAAAGTTGCAGATCATCACAGGCTCTCTGGGCTCATGGGGGCTATGGAAACCTCGATCCCAAATCAATTGTCCTTCAAAAGGCTGGTGGCCTGGGTATTTATGGCTGTGTATGTGTGTGCTACTTCTCTGCATCTGCTTGGCAAGGCCATGGGGCCTGCTGACTTGATTGAATGTCTGCATGTTACTGGGAATGGATTAACATTTGGAGTCAGTGAGCTCTGACTAAAGCCAGTGAGCTTCCAGAGTGCAGATTGCCAAAGGCCTTAAAGATACAGATGGAGGGTCCCAAAGAAAGTAGGGTCTCATTAGAACATGGCTCAGAAAAAACAGCTCCCCCTCCAAGCCCATGGGGTTTAGACTTAAGACCATTGTGTCATTTCTGTCCTAATTTATCCTCTGCCTGCTGCTTTATAGAGTTCAAATTTACCTGTCCCATTGTTGTACAGATGAAATCCTTAAAGTCTCTCTTTGAAGCCTACAGTTTTGTTTTGTTTTGCTTTGGTTTGTTTTGGTTTGTTTTGTTTTGGTTTGGTTTGGTTGGTTGGTTTTGCATTTTTGTTTTTTAGTTTGTGTTTCTTATATAAGCTCATCATGTGTAGACAAGGCTGACTTTGAACTCAACTGTCCCACCTCAGCCTCCTGAGTACTGGGGTTACAGGTACTGCCAAGCCCAGTTGGACTACACATTTAGATAAATGAATAAACTGATGGAGGGAGATGATAAATGGATAGACTGATGGGGGAGGTGTGGACTTGGATACATACACACATACATACATATGTATATGTCCATATAAATATTCATATATACATACATGTGTGAGATGGGTGAGTAGATGGACATATATACACACATATATGTATACATGTATATATACATATATGTGTATCCATATATATTTATACATACATCTACACATACATGTGTGGATAAGTAAGTAAATGGGTGAGTAGATGGCTAGACAAACAAGTAGGTAGACAGGTACATATGTAATGTGTACACAGAGGTGGGTGGATGGATGACAGATGAATAAATGCATGGATGGCAGATAAATGCATCATCTTCTTTTGGCTCATAGTTTCAGACAGTTCAATTCATCATGGTGGGAAGGGCATGAGCAGTTCACCTCATGACAAGAAGGAGGGAGACAAAGGGAAAGAGGGGAGGAGAGGAAGAAAAGGAGGGGGAGGAGGAGGAGAAGAAGAGAGCACATCTGTGCAAATGCTTGTATAGTGTCTCTTCTCCCCACCCTTTTATTCCATCTAGTAGCCTAGCCTATGGGGACGCTGCCACCCACATTCCACCCAAACACACCCGTGGTAATTAGCAGAGTTGTGCCTTAGCGATCTCCTAGGTGCCTGTCAATCCAGCCACGATTTGAGCACAGTATGTGCATACATGGTGAATGGGCAGGTGGTGAATAGAAGGACTAGGGTTAAAGGGCTAAGATGGCAGAAGGAAGACGTCTTGCTAATGGTGACACTGGTCCCTGTTTAGCACCACCGAGTGGGAACCTGATCTCATAGCAGCTGAACCAATGAATGAACTGCCTGGGACATGCTTGGCCAAGGCAGCAAGCCAAGCTCCATGAAGACCCATTCAGTGATCCACCCTCTCTGCCCTCTGAGTTTCTCTACTGCCGTCAGCCCCAGGGAGGGAGAGTAAGTCATATCTTCTCCTGTTGCTTTAAATGTCTGGGGACAATACTGGTCCAGAGGAAGCTGTGACAGCTCCCACATACACACATGTAGGGCAGATTTTGGTGAAAGGCACACAATCAAGGACGGGTTCATTTTCCACTCTGTGGACCCATGATGCCATCATCAGCTCGCTCACATATGTGTGTGATATCTGCTCCCCATGTCAGCTTCCAGGCTGCTAGTGAAGAGGTACAGGATGAGTTTACATAACTCCAGTGACAGGACTCTTGGTTTGTTTCACAGCGAATGCCTGGACTTGAAGGAAGTGTCCTCCCATGCCAGCCTTAGACCAGCTCCAGGACCTTTATCAACTGAATGTAGGACATTCAGTAATAATAAACACAGACCAACCACATAGCTTTTCTTATTCTTATCCAAAGGAGGTGGCCTGGGTCTCCATTTTGCAGATGGGAAAACCAAGGCTAGTGAGCATAGATGAGTTGCCCAAGGCCGTGCAGGTAGAGAGGAGTTGAACCTTAATGTTGAGGCTCTCTAGTCCCCATCCCTGACTTCTGTGTGCAGCTTGGGGTAGCCGTGCCCCAAGCTCTCTCGGAGACCTGCAAGGTAGAAGCTGTTATTATACACGCTGGGCCACTCAGAGAACGTTACAGGGATTCAGAGTTCTTGGCACTGAGTAGTAGCTGAGCAAGGGTGGTGTCCATCTCTGCTAAGGAATAGAGCCTAGATGTTCTCTCGTATGGCTTGCTGGCTTTTGACGGTGGACTGACCAAGGTTGGTCAGTGACAGGATCCTGGATCTGGAGAGCTAAGATGCATGCCTTGCAATGCAAACAAGGAAGGGGGGGGGGGGTTATGTCCTGGGAAGGGCTGGGATTATCTTCTCTGGCTAGGCCCTGGAGCCTTCCAGCAGTGGAAGGCTCCTCCTGCCTCCCACCCTCACCCTTTGGTGAGTTGTCACAGCAACTACTTGGGCATGTCCACGGAGTCTCCTTCAATAATCTGGGCCTCTGATCTTCGGCAGGACTGTAATGAAGGGACAGTTTGTTAGGGCTGACGTTAACGTGGAGGAACCCAGCTGCCTCACTCATGTCATTTAAGAAGTCTGCTCAGACTAGCCGACAGCAGGACAAACTTGCGAAAATATTTATTTGTTCAGCTTCCTGTGGTGAGAGCCAGCGTTTACAAGATCAACTCTTTGTAGTCACTGAGGTTTTTGTTTTTTAAGGAAAGAGCAGTATCTCAAGACCTGATTATGTCCACACCCCCTACCCTGACTCCATTTGCTCAATGCAAGGCCAATGCTAGTGGGTCCAATGTCTAGTGAGCAAGAGAATTCTCCTGGAGCTGGACTGTGCTTGGCTGAGTGATACACACAAGGTTCCGTGAGTAAAACACTCATGCCCCCACAGGCAGATATGGTTTAGTGGGGTACTCAGGGTCACAGAGCGCTGGGATGTGAATTCACATCCAACTGGAACTTTCCATGGGATGAAGAGTTCTTTCTGGCAAGGTGGACCTGCCCCTGAAGGAACTTCAAAGTTGGCGGGGGGGGGGGGGGGGGGGGGGGGGGGGGGGGGGGGATGTAGAGTGTGTTTTAGATCTGTCTTGTCCTTAAAAAAAGAAAAATTAACCTGGGCGCTCACTTCAGCAGCACATACACTAAAACTGGAACAATGCAGAGAAGATTAGCATGACCCCTTTGCAAGGATGACGTGCAAACTGACGAATTGTTTCATATTTTCCCTTTTCCAGCAGTGGCCATACTCTTCCCCAGGGGCTGTGGCCTGAACCATTGCTGAGGTCTCCCGAACCAAACAGCAGGGCTGAACCTTTGTTCCCTGTAGCCTTGGCAGTTTTTCTTTCTTCCTTATGGCTCAGGGGATAGGACCCAGAGCTTCACACATGCTGAATCATTTTACCAGTGAGCTACGCTCCCGGCGCCCTTATTGTTTTTTGTTTGTTTGTTTTGTTTTTTTTAATCACAGGTCATCCACTTGTATCCCAGATGTAGCCCCTCCTTCTTTCCCTCCCAATCCCATCTTCCTTTTTATTGTTTGTAATAAAAGCTTTTTTTTTTTTTTTGTGGATCATAAAAGAAAATTAACTTGGGGCTGGAGAGATCAGGCCCAGCATTTAAGAGTGCTTGCTCCTCTTCCAGAAGACCTGAGATGGGTTCCCAGGACCCAAAGGATCCAATGCCTCTGGCTTCCGAGGGCACCTATATTCACATGTTCACATGCTCCCATACACACACAGGCACCACACACACCACACACAATGACACACACATACTCTCTCTCTCATACACACACACACCACATATTCTCACATGCATGCCCCACACACTCATTCAAACACACACCACACACATAAACACACAAAATCTCACATTCTCACCCCACCACACACACACACACACTCAGAGAAAATAAAAAATTTTAATGAAAAAAATCAAAGTGGATGGTACCTGAGGAATGGCATTTTAGTTATATTTTGCACCACTCCACATATTTGCACGCACACACATACACACACACACACACACATGTACCCACAAATACACACCCATGTACTTGAAGGCATATACATGCACATGAACCACACAGAGATGATGGGATGGGTGAATTATGAGAAAATCTGCCAGAAAACCAAAGCATAGAGAACTGCTGTTGGATTTGCTTCTTCTTCCATGGAATCTGGGGCAGATGGAAGATTCTAGACTCTAGAAGCTCAGATGAGTCTGTTCTTTAACAGAGCCTCCCTCCTAGCCCAACGTCTTTGGCCGCTAGACCTCAACTTCAAGTGTAAGGCCCCCTTTTATCGGGTTGCCAGGCTCTAGCTGTGGCTAAGGGACTCAGTCACTATCAGACCTTGGGAGAGTTGCCTAACCACCGAGAACCTCAATTTTCTTTTCTGTGAAATGGGGCTAATAACCCACACACTTTCATCACAGGGCAGGAGCGGGTGGGAAGAAGAGCTTGTCAAACACTGAACAGGCTTTTATCATGGGCGGTGCTCCTGTTAGAAGAACAGACTCTGGGGTTGGGCCAGAGGTTCCGAGTTCAAAGTCTGAGCCACTCATGGGACCACCTGGGTCCTGCTTGCTCACTGTGTCACCAGTTGCTCATCTGATATGAACAGGACAGTCCACATTCACACTCCTTTGCTTCCCGACCCCCAGTACCTGTGTCTCCAGGATGTAAGTTTTATGTACCTAACTAGTGTCTTTCCATGCCCAGGTACCTGCCCAGGATGCAGAAGTAAAAAGGGAGGGTTAGCAAGGCTGGGAGGCTTTTCCAGGCTTTGAATCCTCAGTGGCAGTCTGGCACCACACGGTGCCCTGACCAGCTTTTCCTGTCCTGGCTTTGGGCGGTATGAAAGCACCTGCCTACAGGGATTTCTTGATGCTTTCACCCTTCCTTAGCCCCTCCTGTACTCAAGGGGCTCCTCCGCACCCCCACACCTCACATCATACCTCACATCTCAGCTCCCACAGAGCCAAGCCCTGCCCCAGTCAGATTCCAGTCACTGTCCAGCTCAGCCACCAGGCGGCCAGCAGGCCAAGCAGCAGGAGGCGGGGCAAAGACTACTCTGCCTGCTTGGAGCCTCTCTCAGCAGGAGCCAGGACCCCAACTGTCCCCTGGGGTCAGATCCATCACTCGGTGGCTGCACTCCATCAGGCAGGCACAGCAGGAGGGTCAAGTGGTCCATGGCCGCCACCGGGCACTGGGAGCCCATCATGGCCATATTTAATTTAATTAAGGCTGTCAGCACTATTGATTTCAGCAGTTTCAATTACTATGCTGTTATGGTTTCTGGATCAACTGATCTGTGATGGGTCCTATCAGCAAAGACACACATTGAGGAGAGAGCCCTCCATCTCCTTTAAGCCTGACACACGCCGCCGTGGCCTGTGAGTTATTGCTTCCATCCAGCCCGGCTCCCCTTCTCAGCCTCATAATTAATTTCTCATTAGACAGCTCTTTATTGTTTAATTTGTGCGGTTTATAATCAAATTGGGCACATTAATTGTCGTTGGATTTAAGGCGAATGGAAAAGAAAGGGCTTCAATAACTTACTCTTCCATGACTCTCGACAAGATAAAATAAAGCCCACAGAGAAGTGTCAGCTTTTTACATTATAAATTAGGTTTTTTAAAGAGCATGGGCATTTAAGACGCAGTTATCACACATTTAGTAATTATAAATCCTACACTGCAAAACAATTATTGAGATATAATTATGCTGCTTGGCTCTTGGGCAGTGGGGCTGCGTGATGGTGAGATTCTCTCCCTTGTGTATGGGGGCTTCTTTTAGTTTAGGGGTAACCATGCCAGCGGCAAGCTAAGTTCTCAAATGCAGTACTCATATGTATTCATACTTTTTTTTTTTTTAGACTGCTTAATCTAGAGGGTGCGTCAAACAGAACAGCCATTGCCTGGCCATCCCTTTAGAGACCTGCAATGCCACCTGAGCCCTTCCTGTGCCTAACCTGGGCTGTTCCCTAAAAACACAAGCCCAGGACAAACATACAAATAAGTGGGGAGTACAAATGAGGCTAAAGTCAGCTCCACCTGTGACTGGCAGATTTCACTACGGGGTGACCATTCATTTGTGTTAGTGGTCAGCTCAACCTGGGATGAATAACCCCGCCTGTGGATGGGTGGGGTCCATCTGGGGGGCAGCTGGGGGGTGATTGGACCTACTTGCAGGGTGGCCAGATCCACCTGTAGGGTGGCCGCCGTTCCAGGTTTCCTAAAAGAGGGATTCTTGAAAGTGGAAGGTCTTCGCCCAGTGGTGTGTGAGGAGGGCTGTGCAGGCAGGGCCCCTGGTGAGCAAAGGCCTGGATGAAGTCCCTAATGGCCACTCTCTTAGAGGACAAAAGCTGGTGGTAGGGGTGGGCAAAGCAGATCCTCCAGGCCATTGCAACAAGACTGAGGCTGGGTACAGGGAGCCACAATGGGATGGTGAAGACGTATGCTGGCTGAATGGCACCCTCAGTGTCTTCCAGTCTGCTCAACCTATCACAGTGAAACCTGGGCAGAATCTGTCTGGGTGGAGAGCTGGGGCCTGGCCTTATAAAGGTCAAAGTGTAAACCTAGGCCTCCTTCACAGTCTACTGTTCTATATCTACTGCTCCACAAGTCCCTACTATGTGCAGGAAGTATAGGAGATAAAGGTGAGTTGGCACAGGACAGCTCTCAGAGTAACCTGGACGTGTTCGGCCTGTCTGCAGGAATCCAAGAGAACACACAAGCCAAAGAGAAAAGACACGAGAAGTGTGAGCTACATGTGGCTATACAGAACCTATTAAGCACAGCAACAAAGGACCTGCTAAACACAGCACCAAAAAAATCTCCGAAACCCATCATTAAGAAACCACTGAACAAAGAACCAGAGAATCTGCTTGTTTCCAGCAGTGGGTGTGATGGAGACTCAACCTGTCTGCCTCTGCTATGGTAGGATGAGATTCTATCATCCAGACCACCTTTTTAAAAAGATTATTTGCATATATATATATATATGTGCCTAACCTGGCACATATTATTTGCATGCAGTGCCCATAGAAGAGGGCATGTGATCATCTGGAATTGGTGTTAGGGGGAAGTTGTGAGCACATGTAGGTGCTGGGAATCCAAGCCTGGAACATGGGAGGAGTAGCGGATGCTCTTAACTACAGCACCACTTCTTTGCCACAAACAAGCCCATCTTGCCAGGCCTTCCACTCTCTGGCTCCTGCATCCTCACAGTGAACCTAGAGCTAGAGACTCTTGCTTTCCTTTACAGGGGGATGTGAAGGGATTCCCATGGCTTCCCAGGGGAAAGAGGAGTAAAGCAGCTCTTTCCTACCATACTGTCCACCTTTTAGCCCCTGGGACCCAGTGAGAGGTCCTGGGAGAATTTTCTGGTAAACTTTAGCAACAACTCTTCTCTGGAGATATAGTTTGCTCCAAGAAACATTTTGCAAAACACCCCGCTCCCAGGCACAGACACGGCAGTGGCTGAGACATTATAGTTCTGCCCCCTCTGCCTCCTTGAGGCTAGAACCTGTCTATTCCCTGCACTGGCCTTAAGGCTCTTGGATTTGGCATTTTACTAACAAGGCTTTCAAGCACACGAAATTCATTTATTGCTTGTGATCCTTTTGTTTGACTTCATTTGTTGTTAAAAACTCATAAGATCTCTCATTTGTCTAAATTGTCCAATGCCCTTTAGAAAAGAATTTTTCTCTATTGTAATTGTTTGGATTAACACTTCATCATTCACTCCAGGCTTTGTGCATCTCATTCCTTCTCTCCACAGCCCCCACCCCTGGCAATGTCTACAGAGTAGTGGACTTCCTTGTCTCTCTGGTTTGTCTCAGGTGTGTGCAGGAAAACAACTCTGTTGTACCATGCAACACAGCTCTGTTGCATGGTACAGTGACACTGGCCTTTTACATGCTCAATTTTCTTTCACTCTCAATTCTTCACTATCTACCTGGTATGCCCACCTGACTTTCTAGAACCTAGGAACCGCTATTCCTATTAAAAGCTACAGTCAAGAAAACTTGGTGGCCAGGTGGTGGTGGCACATGCCTTTGATCCTAGCACTTGGAAGGCAGAGCTAGGCAGATCTCTTGAGTTCTGAGTTTGAGGCCAGCCTGGTTACAGAGCTAGTTCCAGGACAGCCAAGGCCACACAGAGAATCAATCAATCAATCAATAATCAAATAAATAAATAAATAAATAAATAAATAATCAA